GTTTATTTTATTTTGAAGTTTTCAAACTTTCTTCAATGACCATGTTTTAATTTTAACATTATATGAAATTAACAAAAATAACTATTACATTAGTCTTCTGCCAATCAGATTATCTAGCTTATTAAGGCAACCTATATTTTAATCTCTGAATTCTCAAAATTTCTGAAATCTGTTTCATCAGAATCCTAAAATGTTGAAGCCAGACAGCCTGAGTTTGAATTATAAACCCACTAATCCCTCCTTTGTGATCAGAGCACATCACTTAGTCACTTAGTGCCTAAATTTTCTCACCTGGAAAATGAGAAAATAACAGGCACTGCCTCAAAGGCAGTGGAAAAGATGAAATGGATTAGGATGCACAGCCCTTAGGAGTGGCCCACATTCAGTAAACACAAGTCCATTTATTTTTTAAATTGGCATCACTATATTTTGGGGATGAGAGGGAAGATAATTTAATTTTTTATGTGTCTATAACAACCAGTTTTTAAAGTAAACCTCCAGGCCTCTGAGTGTTCTCATGAAAATAGATCACACACTCTAAAGAAAAACTGCGATATTACATCAAATAGATTCTATACCTCTCATTACAACTTAACACCGGGAAAGAGAAACCTCATATGCGTGTTTTTAATTACCTAAGTTAGAGATTTAAAAATACACCTTCACACAGGTACACTGGCTAAATATTTTGGCTTAAGAACATTAGAGAAATATCCTTGTGTAACAAGAGAATAAATTATTGCCCTAAGAGTATCAGAATTCCTCTTATGGAACTATTCTGATAAACTACTTGGTGCGGAAGCTCAAATCCTCAGAGACAAGCTAGCATGATAATGCCACAGCAGAGAAAGTTAAACTATTCAGCATTTGAAATGAAAAAGAACTTGGGAAGATTGAAGAGAGAAGATATTGCAGAGTTCATGACAGAACAGCAAAGAAAATTTTAAGAAAAGGAGGCTCCAATATTGCATCTTGAGGTTGTTTTGCTGCTTGGTTTTGGCTATGCCACACCCTGGCATTCACACATACCCACATGCCTCTGAAGCTTCAGTGAATTCAGGTTAACTGGTGGAGAATGTTCTTATTTGTTTGTTTCAGTTTTTAGTGTTGTAATGCAAATCAAAGAAAGAGGCAAGTTCCCTATCTCCCTTACATGCTTTGGGACAGGGACAGATCCGTCAGGCTAGGATGCTATTAGTTCACAGAAACAGTCTTAACCAGAGGTAAGCATTATTAGAATACAAATAATTCTCTCCCTATTCGCAGAACCCTCTACACTAGGAACTTTGAGAAATGCTAGTCTGTGGTTTACTGTCTCTAGTCACTGTATGCCCTCACCAGCCCATTCCCCTTTGCTCTTGAATATATCCTATCAGGTCTTTGCTCTTGTCAAGGTCACTAGTGACCTCCAAATGGCTAGTGCCAATTAATGGTCAATTCTCAGCTTTCATCTAACTGGACTTACCACAATTTATCAATTTTCTATGAAATGCTTTCTGCAGTAGATGTCCAGAACACCACATATATTTATTTTCTTAGTAGCCCAACCAGTTCCCTTTTGTCAACCGGTAGCCTTTACTGGCTCTTGATCTATTTAAAAACTAAACAGTGGATCAGCCCTCCCTTGTTCCTATTCTCTTTACCTGCCTTCGCAGCTTTGGGGGTCCTGACCATCCTGACATGCTGGCAAATGGATTTCTCCAGCCAGGTTACTCACCTAGATTCCACAGGTATAAATTCAGTTTTCTACTTGAATTTCTCACAGACATCAAGTTGCCACCTACATACCTAATAGACACATCAGTCTCAAATACTATCTTTTTCACAATTGTCCTGTCTCAGTAAAAAGCAATTCCATCCTTTGAAATCTCAAAACAAAAACCTTAGAATTGCCCTTGGTACCTCTCTTTCTCTTACATCCCACATCCTGTTCAAGAGTGAATTTTGTCTGCACTTTCAATAAATATTCAGAATTGGACCATTTCTGACCACCTCACTGGTAACATCCTAATCCATTAGGCAACCATCATATTTTGCCTGAGTTTTGCCATATACTCTTAACTGGTCTTATGCCTCTGACCTTTCCCCCTCTATCAGGGTCTCTCAGTCTCAGCACTATTGACATTTTGGGCTAGATAACTCTTTATTATGGGAGGTTGTCCTGTGCATTGCAGGGTGTTTACCACTATCCCTGGCCTCTATCCACTAAATGCCAATAGAACACACTCTACTAAACCTCCTTGAGTTGCGGCACACAAAAATGTCCCTAGATATTGCCAAGTGCCTGAAGGACAAAATCACCCTTGAGAACCTTTGCCCTACAATGTATTCAACATGGCTACAAGAATAACCGTTTTATATCAGAAACCAGATTATGTAATACTGCTGCTAAGAACTGACCAATTGATTTCCATCTCACCCAGAGCAAAAAAAAAAAGCCAAAGTCCCTACCACAGTCTCCATAATCTACTACTCGCCTTTACTTCTTCTCCATTACTCATCTTGTTCTAGTCATACTTGTCTTTTTGCTATTCCCCAAGTACACCAACAAAACTCTCATTTCAAAGTCTGGGCACTTTTTTCTCTTTACCTACAGTCTTTGTCCCATAATATTCACTCAGCTTACTCCTCCACACCCTTGAGTTCTTTGCTCAAAAAACAGCTTCTCAATAAAGCCATCCATATTCATGCCTTTAAAAGATTCAGTCTCTTTCCCATGCCTGATCTGCCCACAGACTTCCTGTTCCTCTTCTCTAGCTTTATTTTTAATGGTACTTACCTGACATACTGTATGTGTTACTAATGGCTTTACTGTCTGCCTCTACCTAATAAAATGTAAGCCTCAGGAAGGAAGGGATTTTTGTCTTTTTTATTTGCTACTGTGTCCCCATCACATAGAAAAGAAGCTACGGGAGGCACTCAATGAATGTTTAAGGGTGTGAGGAAAGGAGGGAGGGAGGGAGGGAGGAAGGAAAAAACCACCTTAGGTCTGAAGGGTCAAGGCAGACACAGCTGATATCTAAGATACATCTGCATGCACCATTAACAAAGACTGAGTTGTTGCTATAGAATGTATTTAAAATATAACTCATAACATACAATGGAAAGTAAAGATTTATCAAAATGCTTCTGTGCTTATGAATTTTTATGTAGGGAGTATTTAGGATGCATACTTATAAATCCATTAACAAATAGATCTAAATATCTGTAGATACATAAAATGAGTAAAACTCTAGGAGAAATTTTACAAAATGCCACAGGCTATCATAACTCCCCAGATACATAAAAAGAAGTATTTTGAGGTAAGTCAAATCGTTCAATTATATACAACATAAGGTAGATTGACAAGTAAAAGTAACAGTGAACAAAGCTCTTTTCTACAGATGAAAGCCTACATGGCTCACTTGTGAGTGAAATAGAGGACTCGAACTGCTTCCTGCTGCAAGCTGACAGTTACATGGAACCCCCTGAAGTTATAAATTGAATTCCTCTACTAATTACTGGTCTGAAGGGGACAGAGATCCACACTTTATTTCTCTTGCTGAACTTGCAACATAAGCGCTTGTGAATTTTACATTAGGGTCAAGCTGGGAAGTTCCCAGTCAGTTTTACTTGGAGTGCAGAACAGTGTCACCTCCCATGCAAATGAGGTCAGGTATTCTTCCTGCCTTGGGTGCCTACCAAGGAGATTTCAGTGTAATTGATTCTAATAGGGAAGTTGATACAGAGAGTAAAAGAAGGAAAGAAGACAGAGCAAAGCAAAACATAGATCCTATTTGAAATAAAATTGTTTAGAAAATTGAAATTAAATGTTATGGATTCTAAGAGCACATATTTCAAAAAGACCTCAGAATTTTATAATATCACTCTTTAAAATTATATGCCATACCCATTGATAACAATATTAACTATTCAATCTACTCCCTGAACTACTCATTGTAAGACCAATAAAGCTGCACAGCAGGCAGGTACTTCAATGAAATAGGCCCAGTTCTCCTGAGAGGAGAACCTGTGGTTCAAATACTAACACTTTTGATCAGATAAGCACTTTATTCTTGCCAATGACCAATAACTTCTATATTGATGCTGATCAAAAACACTCTGGAGAAGGAAAGTGGACAGGGAGAAGGGAAGGGGAACAAAGGATTGTTGTGATGTAGTATTTCAAAACAGGTTTTCTGAGAAGGAAAAATAACTTCAGCATTTCTAATGGGTGTGGGTACTTTCTCTAATTTCCTGGAAAGCCAGAGTTTTCTCTCCCGCAAAAGCAGCAACTTCATTCAAATTAGGATAACAAAATTCATCCATTTATTCATTCAGCAAACAATTATTAAACATCTTCTCTTTGTAAAAGAAGAAAATGTAAGCATATTTATTGTGAACACAATTTCCACCATTAAAATTCCCCTTCTTTCTTAATTTTTATTCCATTTACCATAACTTACTTGAAATATGACTGATCAAAAACAATCTAAGGGATAACTAACACACTGACGTCTGACATCTGAAAATTAGGAAAGAAACGAATCAATGAGTGTAAAATATTGAATACATCTGGGAGTCATAAAGACCTAGATTGAAATTTTAGCTCCTTTACTTATTGGCTATCCGAACAAATGGAAGACTCCATGGGTCTCAGTTCTCCCAGGTGGAAAATGTTGTCACAGTACCTATCCCAACAGCAGTTGCGAGGATTAAATGAGATGCTGGCAAGAACCCCTTCCCAGTACGCATTCAATAAACTCTAGCTATTGGGGTTAACTTCTGGAATCCTTAACTTACATAACACCATTCTTAATTCCCATCAGCACTTTTTGGCAAGACTTCAGAACCACTGACTTTTATTTGACCTCTTCAGGAGAAATTATTTTCATGTTCATCTTCTTTAAAAAATATAGCTCTTGGAATTTTTGTGCTTATGGATATTTCAAATAAATGCATGAAGAAGAAATTTAACCTTCATGGACCCCTTTCAATAAAATAACCAAGAAAATTCTTACCTAGTTTTGGCAAGGAATAGGGCACTTTAAAGTAGTCTTCATAAAATTCTATTAATCTCTTTGTTATATGGAGAGCATAGTCCCCGGATCCTCTTCTGATAGCATCGGGTCTTGCATATAATCGTACCTAATTAAAAATATATATAAAAGTTACTTTAGCCTTTTGGTACCCAAATTTTATCTTTCCTGCATATATGAATCTGCACAAATCACTTCGAATACTACGAAAATTAAACAGTATTCTTGTTCATATATCAAAGCATGCTGTGGCTGAAAGAACCAAACTTTAACAATTAAAGTAACTAAGTTGAGCAAGTAACAATTTCCTCCCTTCACAAGAAGACATAGAAAAGAGTTATACACCTTGCATCAAAATAAATATTCAAAGTTATCACTTACATGTGCTTGCTAGAGATAGGAAGGTACGGTGGATTAGTATAATGGTTCCCTGACTATGCTGAATACGCAGGATATGGTGGCTCGGCAGGAGAGAAGGTTCATGGTTTGTTAAAGACACATTGCATCCAGCTTTGGAAGCATTACTGAGCTGCGCCAAAATATAAGTTATGCTTCCTTCTTTTCTTTGGGACTAACTGTCCTTATTCCCAATATGCAAAGTAAGAACAGAGAATTTCTCATGTACGTAAATGATTGCCATCCTGGAAAGCCGTCTGCAACTGCTCCGGGCTTCAGAACCAGCTGAAGTAATTCAGATTTCTAACACAATCCGGATACTTAATATTGATTTTTTAAATCAAGCATTGTATGTTATCTAGTCCTTGGCCAAAAAGAAGCCCGAGGCAAATAACATAAAACTGAACAAAACTAACAATTGTACAGAAAAGGTTAAAATGAGATTAGTTTTCATAAAACTTTCATAAAGCTATCCAGCATCTTTCTTTCCAAAGGCTAAATCTATTTTTCACAGATGTGGTCCCTAATCCTCATATCAATCCTGTGAATAATAAATATGTATTTTGTGGAGCACAGCAGCCCAGGCGTGGGGCTGTAGCCCTGCTCTGCTGCTAACCAAACCGGGTGATATTGAACAAATTACTTAACCTCTTTGGGTCTCAAATGGTCTCATTTATAAAATAAAGGTGTTGGATACCAGCTGGTTACTAAAGTTCTTTTCAGCTCTAAAATACATTACTTCCAATCGCTTTTCACAGATAAAGGAGTTTCTGTTCTTTCCAAATCACTAAATAAAATAAATGGTTTATTCGGTATGTGAAAATGGATGTTTATATTCAACGGAAAGACAAAAGAAAATTGTACTCAATCATAGAAAAATTGGTTATACAATCAACTCTTTATTACCCTTGCCTAAGGAGAAAGAACAGAGATATTAGAGATATGTTTAATCAAAAAGAGAAGAAAATTTAAAAATATACATTCTGACTGTGTTAGAAAGACTTATAGTTTAATAAGATATCTACTAAATTAAATATTACTTATTTACTGAAATTATAAAGCTACTTCCTACCCAACAACCAAATCAAATGTCACATTTAGTTCACAGTCACCTACAGTTTTGGTTGGCAGCATAGACCACCTACAACAGCAAACCTTAACACCCTTAGAGAGACAGTGATTATAATTCCCTGCTCCTGACATCACCTGCTTATAAACATGCAATGCCTTAAGTAAAGTTCCCAAGAAGCAGACACTACAGAAAGGGTGAGTACACAAGTGATCTACTAAAGATGGGATCTCAGGAGAAACCTGCAAGGGAGCACCGGGAAGCAAGATAAGGAACACTAATATGCCAAGCAAGGTGCAGTTTCAGGTGAAGCCCTGGCTTCAGCCTGACCCCACTGGTAGCTCTGGAGTATAAAGTGCACTGGCGAGCTTGCACTGCCTTGAGGCATGAGAGCTGGATTCCCAAACTCCTGCACCTCGGTCATTGCATACTAGTTACGGAGGAAAAGGCATAAAATTCTAGGAGCTTTTTGTTCTTGCAGCATTTGGTTATACAGCTCCAGGGGCCCAAGTACAGGCCTTTGAAGAAGACTTCAGGTGCAACCTATTAGAAGCCAAGTACCTCCCTGTCCTCCAGCGAGAGCCGGAGTATAGAGGCACCAAACAGGAAAGAAAAGTTGTCTGTGTACCAAAAGCATACAACACAGACAGTAACCATTCATTTATTCATTCAACAAATACTTATTTGACATTTGCTTTGCACGAGGCCTGGATTAAGTATTTTTAACCAAACAATGAATAAGACATGTTCTCTAACTAAAGGTGGTACAAAACGTTATTGAGGGGAAAAAAGCAATGCAAATGTAATCCCTGTGCTCACAGCACTTCCCATTTTTTAGGTAAGATAATAACAGATAATGATAAATGGCATATGGATGGTAAACTATAAATGACAAATGGATACTGAGGAGAATGGGTAGCTTTCAAAAGGTTCAAGGTAAAGTAAATAGTAATTTCATGTGAAAGCCATAACCAGGACCACTGCAAAATGATGCAGCAAAAGGTCACTAATTTTACTCCTGGCAAGCAGCATTGATTTTGGTAGAAACAGCCATTCCTATTAATCAACTCTACCAGTTAGTCAAGCTATCTGTAGGCCCAGACAGGAGAAACACAATTAAATCAATCTGGTTGTCAAGATTTGATGGAAATGATTCAATCTCAGGGAGAAGATGAAATATACACATGCTTAGCACAGTGTCCTCATTTGTTCATTCAAACATTTATTGCACACATGCTGTGTGTCAGGCATTGTACTAAAGAATAGAAATAGAACAATAAAAATTCTTACCACAAAATGAACAAGACATTTACTCTTACTGCTCTTAAGAGGTTCACAATATGTGGGAAAACAAAGAAATAAATCAACAGTAAAATGCAATGTGAAAAATGCAACAATGTACTCTGCCTTCCCTCCCATTAGAGAAGTCAGAGACCGATTTCTCATCCAAGGCCAAGGTCTCTGCGTCCTATCCCCTCTTGCCTTTTCGAGGATATTCGCAAAATCCTCTCCTTTATCTCCCATATCACCAATTATGTCTCCATGCTGCATCATTTTCTTCAGCAAATAAATACTCTGTATTGTTTACGTTTAAAAACAAAATCTTGGCTGACAATAGTTCCTCCAGCTAAAATTTCCAACAATGCTCCTTAAAAGTGTTTTCTTCTATATAGTTAGGATTGGCATATGAGTTAACATTCAAACTAGAACACTTTTAGAATGAAAAGGAGCACTTAGGTGTAAATAGAATAGTTGCCCATTTATGCTCTGTGTCTATTTTCTTTTGAATTCACTACAATAAGGCTTTCATTCCCACTACCCTACCGTAACTGCTCTCATCTACATCATTAAAGGAACCAGGATGCTAAATCCAAGTCATCTCCCAGGGCTCAACATGCATAATCTATCAGCAGAATTTGACAGTTGATTGGTTCTTCTCCTTCTAACACTTTCTTCATTTCGCCTCTATCTTACTTTTCTGTCTATCTGGTAGACAGCCCCATCTCAGTCTACTGGTTGATTTCTCTTCTGCCTCCTCATCCTTCTTACTTAATGTCAGAGGATCCCAGGTTCCAATCCAAAGACATCTTCACTTCTTCACCTATACTCTGTTCCTTGGTGATGATATCTAGTCTCATGGTTATAAATATCATTTAGATCCTGAAGGCCTCCCCCGTTACTTCCAGTCTTCAACATTCATTAATCCAACTACCCCCTGGATGTCTCCACTAAGATATCTAACAGGCATCTCAAACTTAACATGTCTAAAACCAAATTCCTGATTACACACACACACACAAACAGCCCCCGACACACACACACACCTACGAGCTACTCGAAGTCTTTCCATCCACTTGCTCAAGCCCAATGCCTCAACACCTTCCTTTTTTCCTTTTCTCTTGCACTCCATATTCAATTGGTCATAAAATCCTTTCAGCTCTACCTTAAAAATATATCCAAATACCAATCATTTTTTATAACCACACTACTACTACCCTTCTCCAAGCTTCCTTCATATTCTGCTCTAGTACCCTACTAACATCTTGTCCCTTACTCCCCTAAGCATGTCCTCTTCACAGCAACGGAATGTTCCTGTAAAATAAACATCAAGTCATATCACTGCTTTGCTTTCCTCCTCCAGTGGCTTCCCATCTCATTAAGAGTAAAAGGCCAAGTATTTACAAGGACCTCAATATCCCTATAAAACAGAGTTCACTTTACCTCTCTGGCCTCATTTCTTACACTCTGCTCCATGCTAACCTTACTCCATTCATACACTAGCTTTTTTTGGATTCCTTAAATATGCAAGAGAGATTCTCCCATCAAGGCCTTTGAGATTTCCCCTAGATACCTCCATAGCTTGTTTGCTCCACCTATTTAGATACTTGTACCAGTATCTTTTCTTAGAAAAATCTTCCCTTCCAGCTCAGAACTTTCTGGCCCCCTTCTTGCTTTATTGTTTCTAGTAATTTTATCACCATTTAACAAAAGATATGTTTTACTTACTCATTTTGCTTATTGCTGCCTTTTGTCCAAGAATGTAATTTGCATGAGGTAAATAATTTTTACTTATTAGTTCTAAGAGAGTGCCATTTTTATAGTGCCTGGCAAGTACCTGCTACATAGGAGGCAGTCAGTTAATTTTTTTTATGAATGAATGAGTAAATTTCATAAGTATGTGTAGGTTCTAAGGGAATATATGAGTATAATAAGACTGTGGGATTCTCAAGGAAGGAAATGTTTTAGCTAAGTCTTGAAGGATAAGCTGGATATAGTAAGCTACCAATTTGAAGACAATATCCCAGACAAAAGTCACATTATGTGCTAAGGAAAGACTGTTGACCAAATAATAAGTGACTTTAATGCAATAGTAATTACAACATAATTATAATAGTGGTGGCAATTCATAGGAGGATATTAAACCAAAAAGTGATAGAATTACTCTTGCATTTTTGAAAGATCACATCAGTGACCTATGTAAAGGTGAGCTGAAATGTAGTGGGTTGCTTGTTAAGATGGCCCACAGAGAGGCACTATTATCAAGAGAAAAGTGAGGAGATACGCAGTGATAGGTGAGACCAGAGAAGTAAAGAGAAACTTCAAATCATATTAAAGAAGAGGCTGTATATCAAACTGTAGAATAT